AATGAGCTACAATTTCATATCCAATAATAATGGCTTAAGGAGGATGTGGTGAAATTGGAAGCCTCATACAATGCTGATAAGAATGAAAATGGTGCTGCAGCTGCTGTGGCACTACCTCAAAAGATTAAACACAGGTTACCTACCATATGACCCAGCAATTCCACTGAGATACATACCCAAGAGAATTTACAACATCTGTCTAAATAAAAACGTGTACAAGCATGTTCAAATAGCAAAAAAGTGAAAATAACACAAATGTCCATCAGTGATAGATTAAAATACATAATATGGCCATACAATGAATACTCCTCAGCCATAAAAAGAAATGAAATACTGACACATGCTATAAGGTGGATGAATTTTTTAAAAATATATTTTATTGATTTTTCACAGAGAGAAAGGGGAAGGGATAGATAGCTAGAAACATTGATGAGAGAGAATCATTGACCAGCTGCCTCCTACACACCCCCTACAGGGGATGTACCTGAATGTATAAGCCCTTGACCAGAATCGAACCTGGATCCTCTCAGTTCGCAGGCCAATGCTCTATCCACCCAGCCACATTGGCCAGGGCAGGTGGATGAATTTTTAAAATATTATGCCACCCTGGCCAATGTGGCTAAGGTGGTTGGATGTTGTCCCATGCAACAAAAGGTTACCAGTTTGATTCCTGGTTGGGGCCTGGATCCCTAGTAGGGCTATGCAGGAGGCAGCCTATCAATTTCTTTCTCTCTCTCTCTCTCTCTCTCTCTCTCTCTCTCTCTCTCTCTCTCCTTCCCTCCCTCTCTCTCTCTCTCTCTCTCTCTCTCTCTCTCTCTCTCTCTCTCTCCCTCTCTCTCTCTCCCTCTCTCTCTCTCCCTCTTTCTCTCTCTCTTTCTCAAACAAAAAACAACAACAAAAACATATTTTTGAAAACATGAAGCTGAGTGAAAGAAACCAGTCACAAAGGACCACATATTGTATGATTCATTTAAATGAAATGTCTAAACATAGACAAACCTCAAGAGAAAGTAGAAAATATGTAATAATTTTTCAAATTAAATCACTTTAAAAACAACTACATTATTCATGTACTTATGTATGTCTTTCTTCATACTAAAACTCTTTTTCTAAAATATTTTAAAAAGCACTTGGAAGCCCAAAAGCATGCTGAGAAGAAAAGACCCGTAATTTTAACATAGCTAAGGAAAACTCATAAACCACAAAGGCAGGAAATTTGTTTGTTGGATACTAACAAATGACCAAAATTCCCTTCAATTCTGGATTCCTTTTGAATTGGAAATGACTACCAATAATTAATTTTTAATTTGCAAAATATCTATATATTATATAAAGGCAATCACCAACGTAAAGCTGAAATGCACTGGACTTCACATCATAGTAAACAATTTTAAACTAAATGCAACCACTTAAAATATCAGATGGATGGGCTTGAGTCAGACATAGCTGCTATTTACCAACTGGGTGACCATCTATTTACTTGGTCTCTGAGTTTCCGCCCGCTTTCTGTTACATCAGGAATGAGAATACGTCCTTCTTGAGGGTGAAAAGAAACACTCCAATTACAAAATGGGGACAGGAGATTATTTCTCTATTTTTTTTAAAACCTATCTATACTGCTTGATAGTACAGATATAATTTAAAAACATAATGCAGATTTTAAAAATAAAAACTTTGGCCGAAACCGGTTTGGCTCAGCGGTACAGTGTCGGTCTGTGAACTGAAGGGTCCCGGGTTTGATTTCGGTCAAGGGCATGTACATTGGTTGCGGGCACATCCCCAGTGGGGGGTGTGCAAGAGGCAGCTGGTCGATGTTTCTCTCTCATCGACGTTCCTAGCTCTCTATCTCTCTCCCTTCCTCTCTGTAAAAATCAATATATTTAAAAAAATAAAAATAAAATAAAAACTTTGTAGGGTTCTTGTGGAGCCATTTTGTAAGATAGAAAATTCCCAATTGTGAATAATTTCCTCACTCCTTCCACAGCCCTTTTGATACTGGAAAGGAGACCTGGCCCTTCACAGGTCTGCCTAGGGCTGGCTGTAGTGTGTGGGTTCTTGACTTTGTACAAGAAATATTTCACAATCCGAGTCCAGGTGACTTTAGAGGATGTTTATTAAAGCTGGGGATTTGATTCCTAGTCAGGGCACACGCCCAGGTGGCTGTCTCCTTCCCCAGCAGGAGGCATGAAGGCAGCTAATCAATGTTTCTCTCATTCACGTTTCTCTCTCTCCCTCTCCTTTTCTCTCTCTAAAATCAATAAAAACATGTATTTTTAAAAAAATCTGGGACAGTGAAACAAAGAAGGGCTAGGGCTTGGCTCTTTGGCTAAGAAGTGAGAGAAAGGGGGTCTGGGGGAGTGTCAGGGGGCCGGGGAGGACTACTGCTGCGCATTGCTCCCTGGTTGCAAGCCTCGCGGGTTTCCTTGGAGTAGGAGATGCGCGCCTGTGGGGGAAAGGAAGAGGGAGCAAGGGGTGCAGGCATGTTCCTGGAGAGCAGGCTGTGACCTTCCTTCTGAGAGCTGGGCATTTAGGGGAGGTCTTAAGGGAGGATCTCAATAGAACCTTCATCAGCTTTATGCTGAAACGACAAAATGAGATTTATTCCCTTAACTTCTTCTGTCCTTGAGTGTACTTGGCACAAACGGCATTAACTGCATTTCTGCTGTCTGTCTCCATGATTCATCCTCTGGTTGGGACAAGTACAAACCATTTACTCTTTCATTTAGGGAAGATAGAATTTATTAGAGGTTTGCAAACTGCTGTATAACGATCTGTCTCGGTTTTCCTATCCCACTTGCCAAGAAATTATCGTAGCTTCTTACTATCCTGCCTCACTTCCACCATCTTGAATTCAGGTGATTAAGACTTGGAGGAAGCAAAGTTAAACATTTATTTTTCTGAGGGCAATGGTTATCAAAAAAGAGATAAACAAGGGCAAAAACAAACAAACTTAAACCACTTTCCTCAAAACATACCAAAGAATTTCATCTGAAGAGGAAAAAAAGGAAGTCCACGTATTACTGATTCTAATCACTTTATTCTGGAACATTAAGGTTGGGGGGGGGGCGCGGGTTCAATGTTATTGATAACACTATCAAATGAAAAGTAAATTTGGTGCCTTAATCTTTTGACCAACAAGACAAATTCAGGATTCAGTTCAGAGAATATTTTTCACTAAGAAACACAATACAAATATAAATTGTGACCACTTTAATCTAGCAAACACTGCAAAATATCAGCACCATCTTTTTTGCTTTGAACGTACACTGAGAGGTTAATGTAATTTAATTGATCTAGGTTATCATCTTTACATTTTGCAGGATATAGTGAGAATTAAGAACATTCCTTTCCTTATTCTAATAGATGAAGAAAGTGAAAGCCAGAAAGCAAAGTAGTTTTGCAAGTCAAAAAGGTGCCTTTTAAAACCTCCAAAGTACACTGGGATGGCTAAAGCTGGTAAGGTGGCCTTCAGCGGCTGTCTTAAAAACGGAGACATTACTTTTACAAGCATAAAACTTCCCCACCAAGAGTGCTGAACATCAGCATTTCTCATAAAGTATGCTTACGTACATGTACCTTCAAGTTTACAAATCCTATTCTGGTCCATTTAATATATACATTACTGAGAAGAATTCCATGGAGTGCTTTTGTTTTTAGACTATTTCAAAAACATATTTCTGTCAACATAAGGAATGTCAAAACCTGTAGAGAATGTTTAAGAGTTTATTTGAGCCAAAACTGAGGACATTGCCAGGAAGCTTCCAAACGCTCCTGAGAATAACCAGTTTGCAGTTTCTTCTATGCACCTGAATGAGAGGGGCCCACGGAAGACCCCCGGAGGGGAAGAAAGCCGCGGCTGGGAAGGAGAGCTGCACTTTGAGGTGACTTGCAGACACTGGGAAGATGACTGCTCTCTTGATGGCGGTCACCCCGAAAGGAGGGGTTTGGAAGGGGGCATTTCAACGGTGCCAACCAAGATGCACAGAAACAAAGGGCAGGGCTTGCTTTGGGCAAAGATAAACCTTTTACTGAAGATGTGTCTGGGGCGTGACTACCACCCCGATCTGCACCCTTTTCCTCCTCACTGAAAAGGGGAAGTGCGGCAGTAAAAGTTAGAAAGCTACAACAGCGATTTACATAACTAATCTTATCTCAACATCATCGGATGAGTGGTTAGAAGGGACAAAATCAGCCTGACAGTAAGGGATTCCCCAGATCCCAGGCTTTCTCCTTTCCAGTTTCTGCAAGCCACCTCCGAAGTGCAGCTCCGGCTGACACCGACTTCTCCGCGGTGCCCTGCAAACAGCCCGCCCTGCCGGCCTCCACCGCCGCTCCTCGGCGCCCGGACCGCTAGGGCAGGCCCGAGGGGGGACGCGGCCTCCGGGCCCAGGGCGGCGAGAGGGACACCGTGACTCACCGCGGCCCGCCGCCAACCGCACCGCCTGCAGTCCCGAGGCCGGCCTCTCAGCGCCCCCCGCCGGGCGCGCCCCCTCCCGGGCCAGGCCCCGCCCAGAAAACCCCCCTCAAGTGCCCCGCACCGCGCCTGGGGCGCCACGCACTGACCTGAGACTCCGCCCTCCCTGGGATGCTCCAGGCCCGCGCGGCCCGGAGAGCATGCGCGCCGGCCCGCCCGCGCCTGCGCGCCCCCGCGGGCCCGTGCACACCCTCCCCGCGCCTGCGCGTCCCCGAGGGCCGCACACCCTCCCCGCGCCTGCGCGTCCCCGAGTGCCCGCGGCCCGACCGGCACACGCCGTCGCCTGGGAGGCCAGGGCGGGCCCGGTCGGAGGCGGAGGGGCGGCTCCAGGGCGGCGCGTCCCCGCCCTGCCTTTCTCGTCGGCCGGGGGCCCGGAGTCCGTCCTCCCGGGGAGGCGGCGAGCGGCGAGCGCCGAGGGGAGGGGACAGCTCGCGAAGGCAGGAAGCTGCGGATAAAAGGGCAGCCCGCGCCGGGCCGTTCTTCCCTCCCACGGCCCCGAGCCTCCCCGAGCGCCTCCGCCGCCGCCATGTACCGCTGCCTGGGCGAAGCGCTGCTGCTGTCCCGCGCCGGGCCCGCCGCCCTGGGCTCCGCCGCAGCCGACGCGGCGGGGCTGCTGGGCCGGGCCCGCGGGCAGCCCGCCGCCGCCGCCCCGCAGCCGGGGCTCCCGCCGCCCACCCGGCGACACTACAGCGAGGCGGCGGCTGACCGCGAGGACGACCCCAACTTCTTCAAGATGGTGGAGGGCTTCTTCGACCGCGGCGCCAGCATCGTGGAGGACAAGCTGGTGGAGGACCTCAAGACCCGGGAGAGCGAGGAGCAGAAGCGGAAGCGGGTGCGCGGCATCCTGCGGATCATCAAGCCCTGCAACCATGTGCTGAGCCTGTCCTTCCCCATCCGGCGCGACGACGGCTCCTGGGAGGTCGTGGAGGGCTACCGGGCCCAGCACAGCCAGCACCGCACGCCCTGCAAGGGAGGTGAGCGCGCCCTGCCCGCTGCCCTGCGCCCGCCCCCCCCCCCTCCCGGGCAACGGGCCTCCGCTGCCCACGCCCGGCTCGGCGGGCGGGGGCTTCCCGTCCTGGCCCGGGGGCCGGCCCTCCCGCCCGCAGCGCCCGGGGGCCTGAGGCGGCGGCGGGGCGCCGGGCGCTGCGCCTTTGGGTGTCACCGGGCGGGTCCCGCGAAGTGCGCTCTGGAAACGGGAACGCCTGGCCCTCTGTGTGCCTGGCGAGTTTTTGTGGGCTTCCGTGACTCACCCGAATGCGGCTTATGAAATAACTTTGTGATTTTTCCCTCTTTCTGCACGAGTGGCAGGACACAGTAACATAAAGATGAACTGCCTCTAGTTTTGAAATCTAGACCGTTTTAACGAGAGGAATTTGTTAATTGCACGTTGACTTGTTAAATTATTTTCCTATCTGACAGCTTTCGTTTTGTACAGAATAGTAATGCATGAGCAGTGTAACACCTCTGACAAACACCGGGCGTCCTGACAGTAAATCTAAAGGGTGAAGACCGCTGGCGGGCCCGCCAGCCAATGGAATGAAATAGCCCGGGGGTGTGTGCTGGGCCTGGCTAGCTCCGGATTGGAGCTGGGGGAAGAGATAACTAGGTGAAGAAAGGAGTTGAAGCGGTTACAATTTGGTAACCACCAAGATATCCTATACATAGTTTAAATTTTGGGGTGTGGATTTGGCTTATGCAGTCATATTGCTTTCTTTCAGAAAATGAAAGTGTAAGGGTTGTTTTTTTTCATATTTCCTCTAAGAAATTTCACTATACATTTTTAAAGGTGCTTAAAAGTAACCTAAAATAGGAAGGTAAAGAGTTGCTGGAGTTTGCAGAGAGCTGTGGGGCTGTGCCCTTTGTCTCCGTAAACCTGACACAGGGTTCTCTTTTACCAGCTGACTTCTAAAGATAATTTTTAGAAAGCTCTCTACCAGAAAAAAAAAAAAATTGACCACTGCTGGCATTCTCAGCTGGGGAACAAAGGTTTAAACTGTTTAATGATTTACTTTTACTAGCTGACTAAATTTGCATTGGCCCCACCCACTTTTATGACTTAATCTGTAACACTTTATTATCCTTTACGTTTCCTGTTCTAAACTCAACGTCAACCACTTTGACCTCTAGATTCCCTTTCTAACTCCAAACATATAAAATGTACATTCTGACAGTCGTCCTCCATTGCCTGCCTGTCTTCCTACCACTCTCTTATTCTCTAAACCAAGAATACATGTTCAGATGCCCAAGATCAGCAAACAAGAATGTTGGAGGAAGAAGCAGAATTAGCAAATATTGAACTGCAGTGGCTCTAACCAGTTTGGCTCAGTGGACAGAGCGAACCTGCAGTGGAACTTTAAAATGAATGTCAAGTTCATATTACTATTTTGTCAGTATTTTCCAGTTGCTTAAAAGTTCATACAAATGAACTAGCTGTTTTTTCTGCAGGATTTGATTTGCTCCAGGAAGTTCTATAGCCAAGCCCTCTCCTATCATTATAAATCACAACTCCTCAAACTCACTCAAGTTTACCACAGCTTGTTGGTCCTCTTCCTCTTGTTGCCACAGCAGTTATAATAGCATAATATTGAACCTAGCAACAAATTGCATCAGACATCCTGAAGCAGTTATTGTAGCACTTGCTTATACTAGAGCCTTGGTCAGCAAACTGCAGCTCGCCAGCCACATGGGCTCTTTTGCCCTTGAATGTTGCTCTTCCACAAAATACCGACGGCCTGGGTGGGTCATTTTGAAGAAGTGGCGTTAGAAGAAGTTTAAGTTTAAAAAATTTGGCTCTGTTGACTAATGAGTTTGCCGAACACTGGAGTAGAGTGTAAGATACAATTTTCTCTTCCATTATCCCATTTATAAGAAGGCATGCCACTGAAAGCTCTATTAACTCCCAACATATAAACATTGAGAAATTGAATTTTAACTAACCAACAGCAGCAGATAATATAAAAGAAAATTGACCTCTATAGTGATAGGTTTATTCTCTTTCAGAATTTGAAAGTATGGAGAAAATAGGTTTGGGGAAGATTGGTTTTGCTATGGTTTTCATATCTTAAAAATATTTTTGTGTGCTTAAGATAAAGAACAGTATAATAAATGGGTGATTAAGAGAAATTTGCAGACTTCTATGCTTTGCTTTCATGGCACTCAAGCATCTTGTACCCATTTATCATCCTTGTCTGATTGCAGAGAATGTATATTCTAAGAGGAACTTTCAGTGGAGTTTTTTCCTCCACTTAAACATTTAAAGCATATTTTGCTTAAAAGGAAGTTGTTAACCTCTTTGGTTTCACTGTGGTCTTAGAAATACAGAATATGTTAGAATTGAGATTTTAAAAGATGCTTTGCATAATCCCTATATAAACTTCACTAAGTTTTTCCCTTTTTTAAAAAAATATTTTTTCACTGATTTCAGAAAGGAAAGGAGTGTTAGAAACATCAGTGAAAATCATTAATCGGCTGTCTCCTGAATGCCCCCTACTGGGGATTGAACCTGCCACCCAGGCATGTGCCCTTGACCAGAATCAAGGCAGCCTTCAGTGCAGACCAATGCTCTATGTACTGAGCCAGGCCAGCTAAGGCTTGACTTGTTTTTTTAAGAGCCAAAATGCAAAAAGGAAACTGTAGGAGGTAGATGGTCTTTGTTCTTGTCTTTGGGCAACAGGTTGCAGGGTGCAGGCAGCTATGGTTTGGTTGTCTCCCTCTGGGCTATAACTGTGGTGAGTGATAGTGCTTTGAAGAAGAAAGTATGAGAGTGTGTCTCCATCGCTGCCACAAGATAAAATGCAGTCTTTATAGGTAAATTAAATTTCGGATTGATCCAATCTGGAAGTCAGTTAGATTATGGGTAATTTGTAGGTCTTCTACACCAATAGCCCTTAGCCCTAAGGTTTTACATTGCTGCTATTGTTATTTTAATGAACTGTGTTGCTATTATAAAGGCCTTTTATTTTAGTGGGGAGGAGGAGGGATGAGGGGAAAGGGAGCCAAAAGCCTCTAAACTCATCCGCAACCCCTCCACGCGCATTCCAAATCTACTCAAGAAGAGCTAACATAACGATTGAGACCTATATCAGATTGCTATTCAATCTTCCCAGAGTTTGTGTGAATCCATCTAGCTCGTTTGCTTTTCAGTAAAAACCCGTATGCAGGAAGATATGCTCACTCATTAGATGCAAAGTACACTTTGCAGGAATTGGGGCATCAGAAATCGGAGGACAAGCACCAGTATGTATTAAACTCCAAATTGGCAGTATTGAAATTAAGTTCAAGAAATAGTCATTGAACATGGACTTTCTGGCTTACAGTGGGAAGAAAGTGGGTTTAGCACTGTTTTTGTTATATATATATATTGGTTTTAGAGATGAAGGGAGAGGAAGAGAGATAGAAACATCAATGAAGAGAGAGACTCCTTGATCAGCTGCCTCCTGCACGCCCCACACTGGGGATGGAGCCCACAACTGTGGCATGTGCCCTGACTAAGAATCAAACTGTGTGGCCTCCTGGTTCTTAGGTTGAGTCACGCCAGCTGGGCTGAAATAACATTTTAAAGAAAGCTTTTTCCATTAAAAGTTGTTTGAAGAGCTTTGGTGTTTAACAGTTTCATATGTAGCCAGAACAATGCATTTCTCAATTATTACATGTGTTAAGAATTTTCAATGAAATAATTTTTAAATAGTTTTTTTCTGAGTGGCTCTTCCTTAAAAACTAAGAAAAATCTTTGTTTATTAAGAATTGTTATTATTTTTCTTGATTATTCTTGGAGTCAGACTAAGAGACCTAATTTTCTGTATTACTTCTTGGCTGAAGGAAAATATGAACATGACCTAAATGACAATTACAAAGGTTGTCAGTAATATGACCCCTTCTGTCATTTGTCATTGTCACAAAATATAGGTCATCATAGGCCTTTCAAAAAGCATATTGTACATATTGGCCATAGGATTTACATGAACTATTTTTTTAATTTCTACCAAGAGAGAAACAGCAAAGGAGTAATCAAAGGTAACAGTACCCATATTGGATTTACAAACTATAGACTATATCTCAAATAAATCAGCTTTTCCATTATGTGAGGTTTCCTTTCCTTGAAGGCAACAGTTTTAAACTTAATATTTAAAGAACATTAGTTCATGGGATTTCTGACAGTTAATGTATCTAACTCCATATCTGTTAATTGCCTTCTCTGTGTCATGTACCATCCTTTGTTGGGAAACTATCTATATGAGACTTAAAAAACACACACATTGATTGCTTTGTTTTGTTTTTTGAAATATTTTTTCATTTTCCCAAAATAGAGCAAAAACCAAGATCTCTTCGGCATTATATCATTCTCTTTGCTTTAAGCTAAGTACATTTTTTCAGCATTTCCCTTTTTCAGAAACCATCAAGAAATGACAAATTGAAAATACAACAAATAATGTGCTGCTGTAATAATTCAAAGAAGATAACGGGAGACGCAGTCTGGATCTGGAAGTAGGGAAGGCTGATAGAAATTGAGAGTAGAGGGTGGCTTCACTCCAGGTCTGGAGTGAGAGCGTGATGGGGACAGACTGTAAATAGTGAAAAGTAAGTTTTTGTGACGTAACAAATGTCACAGATTTATTTATTTATTTATTGTCTCTTGTACTCTCCTAACCCCTTTCCTGACAGAACTCTTAATATCCTTGGAATCCCTGAGTGATAGGGGTGCTAGAAGCATCATTTGTGCTAATAATTGGTCTTTAACTTCATTTCCTGACACAGAGCTCCTAAGACCCTGTAACTTTCTGGGTTGTGGGAACATCTTTTAATCTAATGAGGCAACTCTCCGTGGGCCAGAAGGTTGGCTTCAAGATGGTGCTGGTCATCAGAAAGGTGACCTGAGGTAAAAATCCTGGGACTCTCAGCCCCACCTCCCACCTTCCAGTGGAGAGGAGCAGGAGGCTGAGTTAATAATTCGTTATGCTTCTGTGGCGGAGTCTCC